GCGTGGAGTGACGCGCTGAAAAATATTCATAAAATCCGGACATATCGCGCGCACCCCCGTCCGAAATATTGATATATCGCCCCCGCGCATTCTAGACGTCGCTTTTTTTCCGGCGAGCTGCCCTCGCTGTTCCTCTCTCTCTTTCTCTCTGATCGTCCCGATGTTATTAAACTCGCGTACACGAGGTCACCGAATGGACGGAAGGAGCGGCGAAAGAAGAGTCGATAAAACGCGCGGCGAGATATGGCGCGACGAGACTGTTTGAATAAATCCAATCCGCGGCGCGCGGATGTCGCCGTTCAACGGAGCGAAAACTCGAAGAAAAAAATTGTGACACGGAGAAAAGGTTGTACAGATTATCTCTATCCCTCCATCGTCCCTTTACGCTCGCGGAATGGTTTCCTCCTTGGACGTAGGAATATCTGGACGCAGTATATTTCCGTGGAGCTGAAGGGAAAAAGGCATTGTGTAACGGATATGATCAACCAAGATGGCGGCACCACGAGGTTGTCCCCCTCCCAATTGTATCTTACTTTTTCGTTTTCGCGGTTTCTCTACTTTTGCGGCCTCTAGCGTGACAATCAGGCATATTGTAGGAGAAAACGGAACACTTGGCTGCAGACATTAATTTTGTTTACGGAATACATAACCTCAAAATGCAGCAATGTCCATAAACGTATAATATCTAGACTGCGCATTTGGTTGAGAAGACGTCAAAAATTGAACAGGGACGGCATGCTTTGCATCATCATTTTGTGTTTGTCATATTATGGAGTGAAGATTTCAACTCCCTTCCACTGACTATATGTTTGCCGCAAAACAGAGCGTCCTTATGCTTGTCACATGCGCCATACGTACTTTGTTACGTCTTGCAATTCCCTTTAATTTTTTTCCAGTCCCTCTACTGTTCTGTTTTCTCAATCAACTTCTCACTCCACTACGCGTCGTTAGAAAAAAATAGGTTGATGATCGTGTAGTAGTCTTCTTTTTCTATTTTCTGATACGTTTTGACTACGAGAGCTGTAGAAACCGTATGGTCTAGATATTACGTCTATGGCGACACTTCAATTGAAATCACGCCGCGTGTGCGTGAAAGTATATTTGAGTCTACATATATCGTTACGTATGTACCAATTTATCAACCAACATGACCTCGATGAATGTTTCCCCGCATCTCTGAAGCTTCACATCGCGCGTTTATAGGAGTACCTTGAACTCTGTCCAGATTATTCCTACGCCCATGGCTTCTCCGCATCGCGACCTATCGTATTGGATCTACGCGCGACGGACAGTTCCTTGACCAAAAATGTGGATTTTGGTTTTTTCTGTTGTCTCTTCCTTCTCTTTTTATCGCGTAATCAAGATTTTCAAAGATGAACCCAGCGTATTGGCGTTGCATGATGCAGAGAGAGAGAGAGAGAGAGAGAGAGAGAGAGAGAGAGAGAGAGAGAGAGAGAGACGAAGAAGAAAAAAAAGAAGGAGAGAGAGAGAAAGCAGCTTGGCGTTTTACGAGCTTACGAGTTCTATGGATATAAATTCGGAAACGCGAGACAAATTGCCCTGGCAATATTTGCTGAAAAACAACGACAAAGAATATATAGTACATAGCACGAAGGAAGTCTCGCGTCCCACTAAGGTCGAATCGCGTGAGAGCTAATACGAAAACGGATAAGCGCCGATACGTGGTGTGAACGACGGCAATGAGCTTCTCCCGTTGTCGCGCGGGTATCAATCGAAATAGACTTTCATGATCATCACGACATGAGACAATCGATAGTGGAGAAACTCTACGATGTTTCGAAGTTTATTTTTATAAGACAAATATACAGTATTGAATTAATCAGTGAAGTTGCATCACGCAGTAAAGTAAATTTTTGTCATATCGACGTGCAGCTATGTGTACACACAGAAAAGTATCAAACTGCTAAGGCAAGCGATTAGGGTAAACTCGAATAAGATGGCCATACTTTTTTAAAATGCAAAACAATGCAAAATACATTTCTTATTGCTATTTCTGAAAAATGAAGAAAAATTATACCAGAGTTACTTATTCATCGCTGCAGTATCGAGCTCGGTAACCTCCACCGTTGTTCCGCGAAATTCTCGGGAATCACCCCGATCACCCTCTCGATCGCGCGTTGTGCGAACGCTAAACATCGCCGGGTCCACGCCGTAGACGGGATCTCAGTTGCTGGAGCCAAACTCGGCAAATGAAGTTTCAATCAAACCCGATCGGAGGAAACTTTCCCATCGACGAGAGCAGGCGCCGATCCGTGAAAGTATGCGGAAACGTGAGAATTTAATAGAGCGAGAGCGGTAGAGGGAAAAGCCGGCGTGATAACGCATCGGATTTAACGAGCCGAGCCCCTCCGCTCAACTCGGCCCGATGCCGAGTTTAACGAGTACGTTTCCCAGCTCGCCGAATCAAATCGCTCGAAATTGCGCGTTTGCGAACACGGACCGAATACTGCGTTGTGCGTCGAGATGCAACGGGACCGAATCGGTTAAACAAGCAGCGGCGTTCGTTAACTCGTCGTTCGCCGGGGGGTGAATCTCGCCCGGGCCGTTTTCAACGGGCAACGATGTGACTCTTACTTGCACGAATGTCGTTTATACAAATATTCTGTAATTTCTCGACACGTCATCGCCCGCATACACATGAAACGGCGTCGTAAGAAGTTGGATTCGTCTGAGAGACGACATACAGTCGCGTTTCTCTCATCAGATATCTCTCTCTCTCTCTCTCTCTCTCTCTCTTTCATTCTCTTACTCCCTCATTTTCTTACTTTCTTACTTTCTTACTCTCTCATTTCTTTACTCTCTTACTTCCTCACTCCCTTATTTCCTCTCATCCTTTCAACCTCTCACTCTCTCACTCCATCACTCTCTTACTACTTCCCTATTCTCTCTTTATCTCTCCCTCTTCCTTCCTTTTCCTCCCTGTTTCTCTCTCTCCCTCTTTCTTTCTTTCTCTTTCTCTTATGATGTATCGATATCGAGGAAAGGAAGAACACACTGGAGAATAAGGATGTCGAGAAAATATACAGGATAGCCGGGTGAGCCAAGAGATGAAACGGACGCTCTTAAAGTAGGATAGGACACACAAACGCGTTCATGAGGCGCTACACGAATTACGAGACCCGCGCTGTTCATTGTGGCGTTTCGCTAATGATAAACGGGAATCGATCAGTTCGTCGGCTGACAAAAGCAACAGGTGAATAACGCGTATTATAACGCACCTTCCAGCGGCTAAAACGATAACTGCCGTGGAAGTAATAAAATCAACCAAGTCCCTCCTGCTCCCCTCCCCCTGCGAGAGAGCGATTGCGTGTGCTGACACGCGACCGCTCACCGATCAAACGATCGATCGATCATCATAGACTTCAACGCAGTCCCGATCAAACGCTCAAGGATCGTGCACTTGTTCTGGCGCTCTCTAAAGATGAATCAGCAAAGTCGTTTCTGATTGAATCAGAGTGAAATGAGTGTTTCGCCGATAATCGCTGGAAATATTCGTTGCTTTTCAGTGGAAACGCCCTTCAATTTACTTCTCTGTCTTGCGCCTCACTGATTTTGATCAATGGAAACGAGATTTCGCAGTAGAGAAATATTTGTTATACACTAGATCAAATCCGACTCTCTGCGCTTGTGGCGGTGGAATTGAAACGGCTTCCTTGCGCAGCACGACCACACTGTTTGTGTTTGCGCTAATAACACTGGTCTAGAAACTTTGTCATATGGATCACGAATTGTGTGATTTGTATAATATTTTTTATGTTGAATTGAAAAGTGCAAATTCTTCTATCATGATTTCAGAATTTCCTGGAGATCTGATCTTTAAGTTTCAAGAAAATTGCTTTTCTTTATGTACACAGACATGGTTTGCCTAGTTCAAAATGTGGAAGTTAGTAATTTCTTTTTTGCGGTATTTTGTCCCTTCTACTATGATACATATCTTTCTTTTAAAAATAAAAGAAATACTATATCAGTTGTTGTATCTTGTGTCTAATTAGTGAAAAATCGCATGAAAGCAAAAAGATCGTTAATCTTAATGTATTTTGGTAGACCAATATATTGATTAAGTGGAGAAACTTATTATGCAAGATATTTAATATTGGTAGCTTTTTAATATAAAAAATGAAAAATATAAATCAAACTGCTAATTACGTGGAATGTCTCATGCACATTGAGAAAAAAATGTATTAAATTTAAAAAAACTTTTTAATTATTTTCAAAAATTAAATAACGAAGTTTTAAATATAAATTTGTTTCTTTAATTTTAGAAAATATTACTTAATTTAAATAAATATCTTCACAGTACTGTCCAAACAAACGTCTTTTGAAATTTAGTAAATTTTTTCCTCAGTATACAATATATTGGATTTCACACGACTGTTATAGAAAACAGTGCGTGATGGAGAAACTCTTTTACTTCATTTTCGGATTGTGTGCGTAAAAATGCGTAAGAAACACATAAGAAATTCCATGTGACAAATTACCCGTTGACCAGAGTAATGAGAGGACGGTCGCTATTATTAAATAATTCTTTCAACGAGATTTTACTGATTGTGCTGCTGTATATATAACTGATCCACCAGCAATGAGAGTATAGCAATTTTGATGAAAAATATACTGATTGCACTTTAGAGAGTACGAAGATGTCGCAAAAATAGAAAGTGACGCAAGCTGAGCGCTGAAACTGCGAACTTCGTGCAGGCGCATGATTCTAAGCGATTAACGTGGAATCGCTTGAACTTTGAACACTCGGCTTGTCAGACGGCATCCAACGAGACGCGGGAGGATCCTAGAGGATCGAAGGACGATTATCGACCACGTCTCCGCGAGATTCGTCGCTCGTATAAATGTAGCCTCGATCGTCCGGCGCAAGCGTGATAATGCATGCTGCAACGTTCCCTCCTTACCCCTTTCTCCCTCTGTCCCCTACCCCTCCAACCACCACCCCCCTGTCCCCCACCCCTCCAACTACCACCCCTGCCCATTCCAAAACCTTATGTGCAAGTTTTCGCGAATGAAAAAGGATCTATACGGCTCCGTGTGACGCTCTTGGAGCGGATCCTCCAAGTCCTGAAGGACGACATTATTAGCCACGAAGGCTTCGGCACATCACGAGTACCGCCAGCGAGATCGCCAGGACGAAGGAAGCGCCGCTCGACGCTGTCAATGACGGCCCTGAATTGCAGCCGTCTTCTTGGCAGCAATACGTCCGCGTGGTCCAAGAATCTGAAAGCAAGAATTTGTCATTTGACGGGCGGAATGTGGAAGAAAACGCGTCGAACATATTCTCAAGTGATCGCAATGTGTGACAAAAATGTCCAGATAGGATACGGAAATTTGACAACTTTATCAGTCAATTTTTATTTCCCTCTATAGAAAAAAAGGTTGCGTCCCTTATGATTCTCATTTTTTCTCTGCAAGAGCAAAGGTTGCGTCCTTTGTGAATGGTTCATGCGACACTAATATCTGTTGGGTGAGTCGTCAAAAGGATCCTTGCAGTGGATATTGAGAGGATACACAGATTAAACTGAACAATGTTTAGTTTATACTGTCTTGATCGACCATACAACAAATAAGAAGAGGAGTATGCACACGCAACGTAGTAACGAGTCTGTACACGACACGACAAGTGAGAGTACACAAGCGAGCGCGAAAGAGAAGCAGAGAGCTAGAGACACGCATGCGCAGCTGCGACAAAACAAAACATAAGAGCTCTCGCTAGCACCATCACAAACGTAACTTATCGGGCGCGCGATTATACAAATATATAAAAATATCAAAACTTTAGAATATAAATTTTAACAATATCATATAGAGAATGATGAAATATACAGGGTATAACAAAAGTATCAGTACCCTTAAATAAATTTCCAGGATCGCATTTTCCGAGAAAATCATTCAGACAAAAGTTGCATAGTTGCAATTGACCTAGCGATTCGATGATCTTGTCTTTGACCTCGAGGTCATTTTTCGAGGTCAAAGACAAGGTCACCATCTAATCGCTTGGTCAAAACCTTAAATCTTTTGTCTAAAACGTTTCTCACCAAACCACCTGCCTCGTGATTCATTATTATTATGCTCAAATAATGTGAGCTTGAAATGACCTTGAGGAGTCCCTTGGACTCAAATACATATCTGAATGTAAATTTTTCCGCTCTTTCCGATTCTGGAATAAAAAATGGGGGTTTCCATTAAAAAAAAAAGTTGACCTTGAAATGACCTCGAGGTCAAAGACAAGGTCACCATCGAATCGCTAGGTCAAAACTATGCAACTTTTGTCTGAATGATTTTCTCGGAAAATGCGATCCTGGAAATTTATTTAGGGGTACTGATACTTTTGTTACACCCTGTATAGGATGTCTCAGCACAATCTCTCGCGAAAACGTAGAGATTTTAAAATCTTTCGTGAGATGATTGAAATGAACAAAAAAGTTCAGTGCCATTTTGCGAAACTCACAATAATGATTGAGATATATTAGTTATAGAAAATTTGTGAATGATTACGCATGATATGGTAAATGAGCTATGGTGGCGATGTCTGCCGTCGTGTGCTGGTACATTAAGTTAAATTGAGCAAAAGAGTCTTTTACCATTGAAAATAAGCACGTAAATTTTTAATTGTTGATTAAAAGAAATTGTTGCACGATTTTGCGCAATAACGGACAAATTTTTTTTAATTAATAATTAAAAATCTACGTGGTCATTCGCAAAATAATATGACTTTTTTGTTCAATTTGATCTAATATCATATACAAATATATACAATTATAAACATAATCACTACACTGATCTATCATATCGAGCGTCATCATATTCACAAATCTTCTTTAATTAATATTTCGATAATTATTGAAAATATTGCAAAACGATATAGGACTTTCATGTTCTTAATCCGCTCTACGCTTTCACGAGAGATTGTAAAATCGAGTTGGGATACCCTGTAAAATTACAAAAAAAAAAAAAACAAAACAAAAGGAATGATCAAAACAACGTATCATGTAAAATGTAGTGATGCAATTGGAAATGGAAAGAAACGGAAGATATATTGTGGTATGAAAATCTGAGTGCAACTTTTAATAAGTTAGTTGATGTATCATTATAATAGGAAATTTACATTGTTGTATGTAGATTTCATGATTAATTTAATGTAGTATATTTAATGCAGTAGCTTTATTTAATTTAACACAGCATATTTATGTAACGATCCGTCCGATAACGCAAAAGCGAATCGCGAACACAAAACATAACGGATCAATACAGACACTTGATTTGCGATACAGGCGAGAAAAAGTATAAACACAGCGCCGACCATCCGAGAGGAAATAACACCGAATCACGCGAGATTCGGTATATAAAAGGCATCGCGAAAACCTCGAGAGCAAGCAGTTCTTCCGAGGCACTCCGCTGACAAGAGCCAAGCTCAGACAGCCGAAGCATCTCTCGAACACCGTTGCAAAATCACCACATTCTAGATCCTTCTGACACCGCTCCGTCGACTCGTTGGATACGTAGAGTCGACATCCTCGATATCGTTCCGTAGACTCGTGGATACGTGAAGTCTACATTCTAGATTCTGCTCCGTCAACTCGTTGGATACGTCAAGTCGACATCCTCGATATCGCTCCATCGACTCGGGGATACGTGTAGTTGACATCCTCCTAGATATCGCTCCGTCGACTCGTAGATACGTGTAGTCGACATCCTAGATACCGCTCCGTCGACTCGTGGATACGTATAGTCAACATCCTAGATATCGTTCCGTCGACTCGTGGGTTCGTGCAGTCGGTATCCGCGCTACAGCTCCGCCAACTCGACAAACCGATAATAAGCGTGCGGGTGCATCCGCGCACCTTTCATGCTAACTCATTGAGAACCAGAACGACCGCTCTTACCGCCCCTATCGAGGCGTCAGCACGCGAACCCGCGACTCCGTACTCAGCTCGCGGGATCATAATTGCCGAGAGTTAGATATCGTCGCATCTGCCCATCTCGATAGAGCACACACGTGACCGAGAAGACCGCAGCGAAGTCGCATTTTCGCGACTTAACTCCGCGTACTTCATCCCTCCTCCTTCTACCATAGAAGGAGGAGGGCATACTAGGTGACGGCGGGACGCCATGCGTTCGAGATCTGCGTATCTTTTCGTTCCAGAAAGAGAAAAATATCGAGAGCGCGGTTTTGCTAGGCCGGGACTCAAGAACCCAGGTCTTTCGCTTGCCGGGCGACTGCTCTAGACCAATGAGCTACCTGACGCTCCACGCTCACGACACTCTCCTCTCCCTAGATAACGCTCAGAGATACCGTTCGGAAGCGACATCTCTGGCGCGATCCCAAGCGCACGGCGACTACAGAGAGAAACAATGTTACTGTACCAAATGGTACAGCTGTCAGTCTCTCAGAGTCAAAAGTTGCTATCTTTTAAGACCTATAGTGCCCAGGGACAGTTTCGTTGCAACTGCTAGATACGCGCTTGCCACAGTACACCGTGACGGCTCGACAACTGCATCGCGTCTCGCATAAGAAGAGCCATCAACATCACGCATCATAACGGGTCTCGCCGAAACGAGATTTAAAGTTCTGCAAGTAAACACCTCGCCGAGAGCGCGAGACCATCGACGCGACACAACACCGACCGCGGCCGCAAGCGGTCCCAGCAATTGTAAACCGTTAGCGACGAATATAAGAGACTTGCACAGCGAGCAAAACTCGACCATCAACCGACGGCGTCAAAAAGACTTGTAAATACTTTTATACATAGTGTTTGAGATAGAATAGATATCATTTATTAATACTTATATCACTGCTTCCAAATTTATTACATCTGCCACGAAGCTGGGCCGCACCGACTAGCAGCGTATCCCGCACCGAAAGCAATAGAGTTACAAATTGGCGCCCGAACAGTTAAAAAAAATATAAGAAAGGAAAAAGTAGAGTAAAATAATAAAATGGCAAGTAAGCAATAGATTTATGCGCTAACAAAGGATCAAAAACGCAGCGAATGTCAGAACTAAGGTTACCCACGAACGATACCCTAGACGAATTAAGAAGTAGATTGAGTAAATATGTTACGGAAAATCCTCAAAAGTTCGGAAACGGAACAGAAGAAGAGGAAACAAGTCAGACATCGGAGTCAATGTAAAACATCGAATGTAAATGACTGTAGCAAAAACGATAAACCAGATGCGTAAATGGGGATGCCAGTTTGACGGAAAAGACCCCGTATCATTTTTAGAGCGCACCGAAGAGCTACAAAATAGCTATGAATACACAGAAGAATAAATGTTGCAAGGACTACCGGAGTTACTGAGAGGCAACACATTGCATGGTACCGTAACAACAGAAGAGCATGGTCCGAATGGAAAGATTTTGTAAACGCGTTTCGAATGCAATATTTTCCGTACAGCCATAGATTCCAGTTAAAGCAGGAAATACAACGACGACACCAACAACAGAACGAACCGTTCAGACAATACGCCACAGAGCTCGCGACGTTAATGAGACGAGCAAGCGGATTCTCGCGGCACGATTAAATCGATCAAATCTACGAGAATATGTCACTAGATCTCAAACTGCACATTCGGAGGGGAAACATACATACGCTAAGCGAATTAAGCACACAAGCTGCGGAGATAGAGGACATTGAGCGGTAACGAAAAGTCCTCAGAAAAGAGGCAAGACCGATATCGCAAACACCAACAACCGCGACGATGTACATTGCCACCGAATGCTGTTGGTGATGTAAACAACGCGGACATACAAGAAGATTCTGTAGAAGACCGCAAAGGAAGTTTTGCTCGAAATGTGGAAAAGACGGAGTTTTGACAAAACAATGTCATCCACAAATGGGAAACTCCGCAAGGACCGAGGAATAGGGCAACCCTCGGTCATGCGAAAGCCCGCGATTAAATATACGCCAAGACCGCATATACGGGTAACAGTATTGTTACGTTCTGCACGGACGTGAGTCATACAATTTATCTTTCCTTCCTCTTGTCGGCACCCGACAAACGGTTCCAAATCATAATCGGTTTTTCCGTCTTTCCCAATAAAAATTCCAACGATAATCCCAGATAACCCTGGGAAATACGGAACCAAAAACCTCCTAATCCTCAAAGCATATTCCGCCGGACCTTATCCGTAAAATCAAAAGAAGCCGCGGGACAACAAACAAAATATTCGTTATATTTTCCAACTTGCATCATCCTCTCCCGCCCTATCCAAAGAT